CAGGAGGGAGATGCCAGGCCTCCTATGATACAACCGACACTTTTAAAATGGAACTGGCCATTTCTACTGTAAAGCCAGAGTTCTGACAGGATCCTGAATTCTGTGAGAAAATGCTAAAAATAGTCATCATAATCCTGGGCTCCGTGCTACTGTGTGTGATCCTAGTGGGTCTCATAGCTACACTGGAGGGTGTACCATTGATGACTATCATCTAACCCACTTGACCAGTGAGGGGATGATAGCTCAGCAAGGTGCTGGCATCGGATGGCCACCAGGATCAATCAGCCAGGCTTCAAAGCCCATGTTCCACCATGCTTTAGACATCTCCTTGCTCCGCTTGACAAGTAGGGAGGCTGATGACCAGGCCTTCCGCCCCCTGCTCTCCTGGGAGATCTCATATAGTTTTATCGATCAGTGTATCCTCCAGGAGACAAGGACAGCAGATGTTTCCAAAATGTGCTCCCATCCACATGCTGGAGAGGGGTCTGTTATAATGGCTGGTGCTGTTCTGTTCACTCGGGGTTCCTGGAACCCTGGCAGGATGAGTCTTCCCTGTCGAGTGGCTTGCCAAGCTTTTGGTCCAGGAAGAAACGGAACAGCAGAGGCAGAAGTGGAAAACGTACAGCATGGTCCTTGGTGCCAGCAGGATTTCCTGGCATATCCATTTAGGGCTCCGAAGCTGCAGATTAGTTTAGTAGCTGAGGACATGTGGTGCATGGGTCGGAAGAGATTGGACGCTGGAGTGAGCAGCTGCTGGGGGAAATGGCTAGAATAGGTGATGGCCGTACCAGGGCTATACAACCATTGCCCCATTCACCAAGCAAACCATCCAAATCTTCCAGAAATGGAAGCTTAAGGTGGAAGGGAATGCTCAGTGTACCTGTCCTTGGCACGGAACACATGTTGTCTTCCCATAGTCTTCCATTTTTGGAAACTTCAGACATGTGCAAAGTGAGAAGGGATGATATAATGGTCCCAGCCTCCATTCCAAATGACTTTCTGCCATTCTTGTTTCTCCTGGCCTGGTGTAAGCAGGCACAAGGAGTCTCACACAGTGAATGTTGAACACAGCCATCCTCACAGATGCTTAGGTTCCAAGCCTTCCTTTTTTCACTGTGGTCTGATCCTCAGGGGGAGTGAAACGTATAGATTTTATCCATTCTATAGATGAGGAGACTGAGGCTCCCAAAATCCAAGTGGGGCTCTTTCCAAGCCACTCATCCGGCTAGAACCCAAGCCATGATCTGTTTAGTCTTGATCGTTGTGCTGCTCTTATAAGGGTGATTTCAATTATATTTATACAGTATTTTTGAGCATGTGATAGGTGTCATTGGATTGAACAGCTGCCGTGTGCTTCAGGTACCTGGAGCTGTAAATGGGAATAAGGTAGGCACATCCCCTGTTCTCATGGAACTGGTATCTTAATGAGAAAGCAAAAACAAACCCAAATAAACAAATGATGTGTTGTCGTGAAGCCATTTCTATCTAAGGTTTCATGTTTCGTTATTTCATCCCTATCTTCCCAACTAGGATACAGGATATGTGAGGGTAGAGACAATGACACTGGGCCTAATGGGACCTTAGCCCAGGTCCCACAGGGGGTGGGTTTGTCTACATTAGTGGATAGGGAGATAACCTGGGTATGAAACCCTCTTTTAAAGAGAAGAACTGGGAGCCACGAGGTTGCAAAGGCGGACAGTTTCCCCCAGCTACCGCAAAGTCCCTCCTCCAGGGCCCAGGCATTGACTTAGCCACAAATCTCTCCCAACATGCTGAAATCCCAGGAAGCTCACATCATGGCCTGATATGGAGACAGCTGAGCAGCCCTGGGACTTGTGAGTAAATTCCACTGTGCACGCCCTTCCACCTCAGACTCTGTAGTCATAGTGACCACAGGTGCTGCCGTGATGGTGGGTATGTATGGCGAGTGCTGTACATTCCAGGCCAGGCATCGTTAGGAGACCCCCATCCCTGTGACTTCGCCAAGGCATCCAGTTAGGCAGTCTGGTGAGGGATGGTGGAGATGGACAGACAGGACAAGTGAGACCCCCACAACCAATCTGTGAACTTGACCATGTTTTTGTTCTTCCTGTTCCCATGGTACTTCGGAGTCAGCAGTGATGGTTCTGTCCTGCTGGGTCCCTGCAGAGGCTCCATACTTGAGGCCCGCCCTGCTCTGTCTAGCATTGGTGGTCTCTAGGTATCTTTATGGCTCTGTATAGCCCACCATGTGCTTTTGGACTCCAAAGGGCAGGATTTCCCTCCGAAGGGGCAGCTTGGACAGGTCTCTCCAGATGTGGTACCCTAGCCAGCATCTTCTTTGGCACAGGAGACATGCAGCAGGCCCCTTCTCTGCACTCATTCCCACGTTCCTGGCTGACGCTGGGACACACATACATCTGCTTCCCTGCTCTGTGCCCTGGTTTCCCCATCTGCAGTCTGGAACCCGTTCTAGCTGTTCTTTCCTGCAGAGGCTGTGAAGGGTTAAGGAACTATTAGCTGAGCTGGAAAAGCTCTATGAAAGGAATCAGTGAATCACATCAGCTTAGCTGGGGAGAAATTCCACCCGGAGACTGTCTTCTGCTGGCTCGCTCAGTGCATGGTGACCACGGGGCATGATGTTGCTTGTAGGAAAACCTTTAGCCTGGCCAGGAGCATGCACACACACCCGTGGCAGCTCAAGAATGTAGAAGCCTGAGCAGGAGGCCCCATCTTGGGAGTCGTGCAGCACAGGGTGGTGCCAGCTCTCTCAGGCTTGAGGGCTCCATGAGGCAGCAGCTGTCATCTTATGGGGCTATCCAGTCTGTCCATTGCCCTAGGAGGGCATGCGGGGCAGCATGGTGCTTATTTCAGAACAAGCCAGGATTGGAAGTTGGGAGGCAGCCAATGGGTTCCTAACCTCCACCCTTGCTTCTGGGTGTGAAGGAAGAAGGCTCTTAGGTTGCTGAGGCATCATCACTCCAGTGACTGTGACAGTAAAGACTTCAACCTCTCTCAGCTACTTCTGATCCCTAGAGGCCCATTACAGTTCAAAGGGCACTCACAGTACACATGTTTGCAGTTTTGTGGTTCCCCTCCCCCTCCAGCCATTGGGCAAACATGGCCAGGCCACAAGCATTGCTTTGTCACCTTCAGGTTCTGTCAGACCTAGCTGCTGCTCATCAAGCCCTGGCCTGCGTGTGCAGGCTACGCAGTGGTTTTATGTATGTTAGGGCAAAGGCCCTATAGCCCCTCCAGCTAAAGGACATAGTTTTCTGATTTCTCTTTCTCCGTTAAACACTCAGATACACGAGAGTAGCTGCCTATACCAAGCGCTTGCTCTCCTGGGTGCAGTGCTGATCTCCTTCAGTGTGCTGGCTCCTTCCATCTGTGGCATAAAGCTAATATCAACACCATCCTCAGTGACACCAGAGGTCCCCAGTGCTTAGGCTGCTAACTGGACTCTCATCGGGAGGAGGACAAGAATCCAAACCAAAACATAACTTTTAGCAAATGCCGGGTGCTACTCTAAAGCCTGCAGAAAGAAACTGAGTCCCCACTCTTGGAGTACATACAAGTTAGTCCAAGGCAGGGGGTATGAGGAACATGAAGAATATGACACACACTATGGACATGAACGTGCAGTGGGTCAAATATTAGGTAGTGCGTAGAGAACTCAATCCGAGGGAAGTATGGGGATTACCACTTCATGCAGCTGGCAGGGTACGTTCCAGATAGGCCTCCGGGAGGGAGCAATCCATGTATGTAGACATCTAAGGAATGAGCAATGGACAGATGGCACATGCCGTGGCTCTGGGGAGAATCTGGTATGATTGCAAAAGAGTAAAGACATAGGGCACTGGAGGTCACTGCAAGGATCCTGGGTCTCTGTGTAGTGGGGACCTCAACAGAGAACCAAGGGGAGATGCCCGGATTCAAGCCTAGAGGCTGCCTTGACTCTGAGGGAGCATGGCTTGTGAGGGATGAAATGGAGACAGGGAGGCCACTGGGGTGGAGTGCAGTGGGGTGAGGGGGCGGGGAGATAGGAAGGAAGATGGAATCCATCCATAGCTTGGGATTTGAGCCAGCGGGATTTGCTAATGGGTGGAGTGTGGAGCCTGGGAGAGAGGGATGAGAAGCCACGTGGTTCTCCGCTCAGCTCTCTACTGCTGAACATGTGTTTTCAAGTAGGAGCAGGACTGGGTCCCTGCTTACAGATGAGGAAGCTGCTTTGCCAAGTCACCTCTCTGGGGACAAGACATGAAGGCCTCTAACCACAAGCCAGAGCTCGGTACTGTCTGGGTACCTTAGGAGTTTACAGCCTCACAGAGAGGCCACCAGGGATGTGGCACCGTGCTCAGTCAGTACAGTTACCTGCAGTGGAGATCTAGTGGAAGGTCTTCCTGTTGACCAGGTCTCCTGTCTCTGACTCTGATGCATCAGGGTGGGTGGTAGTACCTACTGCACCGTCAAGATGTGTCTACTCAGCGATCTGTCCAGTGATGCCAGCAGAAAGTTCAGTGATGATCTGCCCTTCAAATGTGTATTGGAAGTCCTCCAAAATTTTAGGTTGGCCCAGCTGTAGGCCAGCCCCATGCCAGTTTGTTGCCAGGGCCCCAAAGACTCTGCTCTGGTCCCTGTCTGCAAGGCCCTCGCCTCACCCCTGTGTCTTTACTCATGGTTTCTCCTGGAACGCTTGCTTTTACCGCGTCTCTGTTAGCTTCAAGACCTGGGTCAGAGGTCACTACCTTGGGGAGAGTCTTCCTGGATTCCGCCCCTTGTCAAGACCTCCCACGCTTCTTTTCATAACACTTATCAACTTATGTGGAGTCATTACTTGTTTTCTGGGTGCCCCCAGAGTGAGCTGTGGAAGGCCCGACTTCCTCATTTTCCTGTGGCTTCTAGGACAGGCCCTGCCAGTGGACGTACGTAGCTTTGTGGGTCGGAATAGATGAATCATTTGGAGGAAAACCACTGATCAGCCACAGCTGTCAGAGAGCTAAGCTCCCAACTTGGGAACCATGGAGTCCATGCAAATGTACCCCGGGGCAACCTCCTCTAGCATCCAGCATCAGGGACGCTCAGGAGGTCAGTACCACCTCTTCAGGGCAGGAAGCTAGGTCTAGCGTTATAGGAGCTGATGGTACAATTGACAGTGCCCATCCTGCTTCTCCCTCATCTGACAGCACTCTGTGAAGAATCTCATTCCACAGCTTCATCTGAGCCAGGCATGTTCCCATCTGGCCACACTGGTAAACATGGCTACATGGGTGCGCAGCATGTTCATAAACAGTGACCTCTATGTGCCTCCCCACTCATACACAATACATATGCATTCTTACCTGCACACTTGCCCACCTGCACACACATATGAACACACACGCACACACCTCTATGTACATGCCATACATACATGCTTTTGCAGTTACCTTCCCCATGTACACACTCATCCACCCTTAGACATTCCCCCACAGACAACCCAGTCTCTTCCCGTGGCTCATACCACTATTTAGTCACCTACTCCTGTCTGAATACACTCCAGTGGTGTACTCCCATCTGTCTCTGCACACATACATCAAATTTTTGCATATGGCACCCTGCTGTGTTTCTACCCTAGTTCTACCTAGTAAATGTGTGGATGATTGTGCTTTGCACACTTATGCATACACACGTGCATCTGCGCTCAGTATGTATGTACTCTTTTATGTACACTTAGCGTGCTTGTGTTCACATATCATCTGTGTGTGTATGTGTGGTATTGGCCATTAAATTCAGGACTTCGCATGCTGAGAGGCACTCCACCCACCCCTGCCCATTCACATCTCATTGTATGTACCAGTACTGGCACAACGGGATTTCTACCCAGCTACCGAGTCACAGCCGGAAGATACGGTCAATAGTACCAGTGAAGTGTATGTTGGGGAAGTTTGCATTGCAGAATAAGAATTATTTTAGGTCCATGGTCACTTGGCCCTGTGCACTTGGCAGCACATCATGACTGAGGGACTGCTATTAGTAGACAAAGGGACGCTGGCTCCTGACCGGTTCTGTCTCCCCACGGGCACCCCCACCCGCACCTCCCACCCCTGGACTCCTGCTTCCTTCCTTTGGAGTTCCTAGCCCATGGGGTAATCCACCCACACCAGGGTTAGTCTTGTTCCTCTGTGATCCTGCCTGGAAACATCCTCACAAACACATCTGGAGTCTGCTTTCCAGCCCTCTTAGTTGATTCTACATCTAGTCGAGTTAACAGTGAAGAAGGACGAATGTGAGATGCCCATGTGCAAGTGAGAAACCACACATGACAGCGAGGAAGGGGTGTCCTGCTGCCGTGCTGAGGTTGCTGTGGACTCTTCCAGGGGTGAGGCTCTGGGGGGCACTGGGCCCCGCCCTGCACTGGAGCTTCACTTCTACGTTGATTCAGTTTTCTCATTAGAAAGAGCGCAGTTTCCTTTTATTCACGTCTTAATAAAAACCATTTTCGTTTTTCCTCATCGTCAAAGCTACACGTGAATAATACAATAATACTGTGTGTGTGTGTTTTCTTAAGGGAAGTATGTATTTCTAAACTCCGCTAGTCAGTTCTCAGTCCTACCTTACTGCATAGATTGGCAGCACTTAGCATACTGGTTAAGCATTTGACATTTTGGCCAGCAGAAGGAAAAAGTGGTCTCTGGGGGTGGAGTAGAGGGTGCAATCAGGGTAGCCGTTGGGACCTGTTTATCCTAGGGATTGGAGGTCTTCTCAATGTAGTCACATGACTTCCTCCAAACCTGACCTCATAACTTGCGTGCCAGAGACAGCCACATAGCCCTCAGTCCATGGGGATCCCGTGATTCATCACTGCCTTCCACAGCAACAAGCACACAGGGTAGTTACCCCTCCCCAGAAACACACTCATGTTCTCATTGTTTGTATCTCCCCAAAGTGTTAAGCATGAGCTACAAAAAGAAAGACTAATATATTCAATGTTGTGCTTACTGTAAAGTGATAGGAAAGTGCCTCCCCCACTGCCTTTTAATAACCCTTTTCTCCCCTGAAACTCAAGGTTTGGGATCAAACCAAATGTCACTCAATAGCCCTGCTGGTCAGCATAATTTGTTGTGATTCTGTGCAGCCTTTCGGGACTGTGGATTTGGCCATCAGACGGCTCCACAGCGGGATCAACAATCTCCTTTCCTTGGGTATGCTATCCTCAAACGCCCATTGCTCTGAGGATGCATAAGCAAATGTGGGGTGTTTGCACATGCCCTTAGTTTTCAGAGGGTGGGGTGGTATGGTGCTTTTATTCATTTAACTACAGTTCATCAAAGTGTTGGCAGCAGTGATCTTTGATAGTATTATATGAGGCTTTTCAAAAGATTTATTTCCTTTTAAACTATGTGTGTATGAGGGGAAGGTATATGTATGTGACTGCAAGTCCCAGAAGGAGGCATCAGATTCCCCTGGAGTTACAGGTGATTGTAAGTCTCTGTATGGGCGCTGGGAATCAATTCCAGGTCCTCTGGAAGATCAGTACCTACTCAACCTCTGAGCAGTCTCTCTAGCCCCAAAAGTTTGGGTTTTTGTTTGTTTGCTTGTTTGCTTGCTTGTTTGTTTGTTTTAGCTGTTGTTTGTTTTTGCAAAGCCTCCATGTTATTTTAAACTGTGCCATGGAAAATGTTACATTATCGCAGTTTGCTTTGGGCTAAGCTGTCATCTACTTCCTCATCCCTGCCATTTGCCCTTTGGGTTGTTTCTCCACATTTTCAGGGTCTTTATGGGGAGACACACTGTATCGCTGATGAGCAGTTGTCATGCTGTTGCTGGTCCACCCCACCACCACCACCAGCAGTGTGTGACACCTACAGGGACATTGTCAGGTGTAGGGCCAGGAATGGTTGTGCTCTTTGCTAGGAGTCCAAAGAGAGCAGGAAATGGTTTCATTGGCAATGTCAGCATGATGACCCTAGGCCTGGCCCACAGAAAATTTTAACAAGCTCAGTTCCCAGAACAGAACCTGCAGAGCGAAAGAAAAGCAAATAAGCAAGCAAAAATAAAGAACGAAAGAAAAGAGAACCCTGTTGGAAAATACACACAGAGATTAAAATAATGTTTGGCACTTACATCACACTTTTAAAATTCTTCAAACGCTTTAGAAACACTAGCTAATTAATTAAGCTGCCTAAATCTGCTTGCAGTTGGTTGAGATCTCCAGAGGAGCTAAAAAAGGAGGGGGCTAAAGGGAGGAGCCAGCCCTCCCCAGCCCAGATTTTATTGTCACCTGCCCGGGGTGTGATTACAGGCCTGTGGCTGCATCACAAGAATAGCCCTGCTCCAACTTGTCAGCGCCCAATTCCCAAGTTCCTCTTGAGCATAGCTCCCTCGTCAGCCGCTGACTCACAGCTCCGTGTTCTGTTGAGGATAAGGATAATGGTAACAGAGCACCAGCTCGGGTCGCCCATGTTAGCTCCACTCAACAGATGAAGGAAGAGACTCTGGGTTTTGCCAGGGTCACAGAGCAAATAAAACCCTTACTTTCTCCGCTCATCGTTGTGTTCCTTCAGCATAGATGTGATTTAGGGACCAGGTCTCCCTGTCTGGGCTGGAAATCACAGAGATCCACTTGCCTCTCTCGACTATTTCTATTGAGGACACAGTATATACCAGGCAGGAGGCTGGACAGTACTTCTTAGTGGATCTACCATCCTAATGGTGAGGAAAATAACAGTCCGCAGCAAATCAGATATATAAAGAACACAGCAATGTGATAAGAGGGTTTAGAACTGGAATTTAACCAGCAAGTATACAGCAGGAGCTTATGAATAATTCTGGAACAATCTTCATGACAAAGCAGAGGGTAGATACCATTTCCCTGTTTATGTCTGATTGAATGGGAGTCCACTTACGAATACTGAGCTGGCAAAGAGAGTCTGTTCTCGCCCAGGCCTGTGCTTTATGCGTGTGGTGGTTCCAGTTCAACCGGTCTCCCATGGTTAACTGTAGAACGTTCATGGCTCCTTGCTATTGGCAGTAACTGGTGATGTCACCGGTGCCCTTGGGAGGCTTCCTGTGTCTTCAAGCCTGTTCCCTCCTTGTGTCTATCGCTTGCCTGGCCACCCACCCTACCTTCTAGTCTGGCTGATGTTGCCTGAGCCCCTGAATTCTATCGTTTTTCCCCTGTAGTGCGAGAATCAGGCTGTGCTCAGGCTGGTGTTGCAGACTCTGCTCATACCTGCCATGAAAAGTGGCCCTCAAGGGGAGCTGTGACTGGGGAAGAGGCCAGGCAAGACAGTGAGCAACTGATGGCAGGCCTATGCTGGCCCTGGGTACCTGCAGTGAGAGCAGAGTCAATCCATCCCTGGAGTTCTCTGGCCTTGGGCTCGCTCTCTCCCCTTGCCAGTGCAACAATGTCAGGCCATGGGCTAACACGCATGTCTCTTTTACTGGGTCAGCATAAGAGGGGCTGCCCAAGCATTCTGCTGTGGTCCTGTCTAATAGGTAGGGTCACAATGAGAAGCCAGTCGAGTCCAACTTGGGGCCAAGATCACCTGACTCAGTGTTCCTGTCTCGCCACTCTTGCTGTTGTCATCCTCCCTCTCCTGTCCTCGTCCTGTCTTCCTCTCCGGGTTACCAGAGTCTCATGTCTGTGTGTCCCAATGCTCATGCTCCACATCCACACGTCCAGCAAACCTTCACTCAGGAAGGTAGTTGGGCCACTATGCTTGGATGGCAAGGGCTTTATCCACTGATGCTGCCTTTTAACATGCTCACCGGCCTCAGCTTGTTTCTGTCAGAAGTTCATCAAGATGGGCTCATGGTAAACATTTTACAGATGAAGAAATGAAGGCTAGGGACCAAGCCCAAGCTGAAGCCACACACATCTCTGCAGCTGCTTTTGGCAGTGGGTGAGCACCTAGGCCTTCCCTGCCGAGCTACTGATGGCTCCCAGTGATGCAGCCCTATGCTACTGAGCCCCACCTAGGGCCCGAGTTCTCAGCTGTCCTACCACCAGGCTGCCGAGAGCAACTGCTCTGCCAGGACTTGCCTTCAAGCACAGAATCTCCCTCTGAAAAGCACCACACACACCAGGGCCCCCTACTTCTGCATCTCTGCCGAGTTTGTTCCCTCGGCAGGGAATCCAGGCTCCCATTCTAACTGGAAAATTTAGAATTCCAGAGCCCATCTCAGGCATGACACTTCCACGGAGGGCTTACACACTCTGCTACACTAAGCTATGTGACATAGTACTCTGTGTCTTAGATTTCTTATTACAGTCTTGAGTTACAGGCCCACATGGAGGTTGTAAAAATCACTGATGGACTTGCAGGATCCTTAAGGTGAATCATAGCTGCCACCTGTCTTTCCAGGAGCCACAACCGACGAACTGAAGGTGATTCAGCCTAATAAGGCAGTGTCTGTTGCTGCTGGGGATGCGGCCATCCTGAACTGCACCGTGACCTCCCTGCGGCCAGTAGGACCCATTAAATGGTTCAAAGGAACAGGGCAGAACCGACACCTAATCTACAGTTTCACAGGAGAAAACTTTCCTCGAATTACAAATGTTGCAGATACGACCAAGAGTAACAATTTCGATTTTACCATCCAAATCAGTAACGTCACCCCAGGAGATGCCGGCACCTACTACTGTGTGAAATTCAGTAGAGCAGAAGCTGAGAAGGAACTTCAATCTGGAGGGGGGACAGTGGTCTATGTGCTTGGTGAGTAAGCCTGTGCCTTCTTCATCCTCTGGTGTGTAGCAGCAGGTCAGAGGATAGCACCCCCTATCCAGTGAGTGTGGGTCATAGCAGTCACAGTGGGAGAGCCTGGCCATGATCTGACCTAAACCATCAGCAGATCAGGGAAGCCAAAGCCACTTAGTTGTTCACCCCAGGCTGCAGTGGCAGCAAGTAAGAGGACATCTGCACCCTCATCCGACCGCCCCACAGCCCTGTCTTTTCCTTGCACACAGGTCACACTGCCCGTGAGTACCAGAGTGTAAACCAGAATGTAGATCCTGGCTAGGCTCCTTGCTGCCCAGCATCTTCACAGCCAAGAACACGGAGGTGCTAAGGAAATGCTGAGCCTTGAGGAGATGGTGGGCCTTTCCATGCATCACTTTGCCAAAGATTCGGATGTCTCTTTCGTTTAGAACCTGAGGTCTGTTAGTGACAGGAAAACCTCTCCCAAATGTCATTCAGGTCCTCACTCTGTATCAGGACACAAAGGGCACATTTTACTCCAGCATCTGTAAATTCCATAACTTATTGTAGTCTTCTGTTGGTAGACAGTTCGATTCTTCCCAGCTGTGGACTTTGAAAACAGTGTTGTCCTGAATGGCTCAACCCACATGTCCAGGGCAGAGATGCCCACTGCAGGAGGTATCATGTAGTGTGTTCCTTTTAATTTATGTGGGTGTTACCAGTTTTCCCTCCAGGTAGCAGCCAACTCTTCTCGCCATCCACCCACCCCTGCACAGAAGCAGGGCAGGTAGCTTGTCCTGACTTTGTAAGTATGACGGAGACACCGAGTTCTCACGTAGTGTGTCACTTGCCTAGGCAACTACGACTAAAAACCTGCTCCCTGCCTCACGCCACATCTTCTTCATAGCATTTTCTCTTTAAACCAGAGCTGTGAGTGTCCACCTTTCCAGCGTTTATTAGGCCCCTTAGGACGCCATGAGGAATTACCAAGATCTTGCAGTTTGGAGCAAGGCCTGGCTTCTGTCAAGTCCTCAGTTTTCCGTTCTGTAAATGTCAACAGTAATGACACCCATTCTGGGATCTATGAGCATCAAGATGTTACCATAGTCCTAGATGGGGTGTCAGGGTCATTACTGAGTATCAGAAGTACAGTGACTAGGAGGACAGGGACAGAGTCTAACTGTCTGGAACCATATTCCAGATAAGCCACTCCGTTGACTGTGTCCTGGACAAACCCCACCACATAGCACCTTAGTGGCCTTCTGCCCATGACACTCTTACAGATTATGCAATCAGGATATGATCAGTGACATCATATCAAACACATAGAACAGTGCCTGGCTTGTAGGAAATACCCCATCAGCGGGAAATGTGTTGAGCTGTATCCATGTGACCTTGGGTAGGCTACTTTCCTTTCCCAGGCTTCAAGTGTTTGTGGGGTTGGGATGAGTTGGTGGCTTTCCATATGTCTGCTTGTATGACTCATCTAAGAAACAGAAAAAAAACATATTTCATATCTACCCTAGAAATTCTGCTGTAATTGGTTTGTCATGGATCTGAAGAGTGTGTGTGTGTGTGTGTGTGTGTGTGTGTGTGTGTGTGTGTGTGTGTGTGTGTGGTATGTGTGTTGCCACACCACCTGTGCATGAGCAGAGGACTGAGGGAGAATGTTTAGAGTCCATTATGTTACTCCCTGTCTTACTCCCTTGGGACAGGGTCTCTCATTGATCCTGGAGCTAGGTTGGAGGCCAAGAGACCCTGTGATCCTTCTGTATCCTTACCACTCCCACTGCACTGGGTTATAGACATAAGCCATCATACCAGCCTTTTTTTTTTTTTTTTAATTAAAAGGTATTTTTTATTTGACATAGCAACCCAAGTTTCCCCTCCATCCCATTCTCCACATCCTTTCCAACCTCTCCCCTCATCCACTCCTCAGAGGGAAGTCAACAAAGTCTGGCATACCAAGTTGCCAGATGTTGAGGCAGATATTCAGTCTTTTTTAAACATGGATTCTAAGGATTTGAACTCAAGTCCTCATACTTGCTCAGCAAGTGTCGTAATCTTCTGCTGCTTGCATCTGAAGTTCCTTACCACAGCCAAGCTGAGATACATGTCCTGAAACCACAGAAGAGACACTATGGCTTTTATTTTTCCCCCGGCTAAGCTGGTCCCCCATGAAGTTTTACTCAGAAGTGCTCTCTGGGTCCTGGTGATGAGCAGAAACATGTCCAGGGGCTGGCCTCAGAGGACTGGAGATGCATCCCACACAGCCCTGCCAGCTACTCAGACCCCTAGGAGAGGGACCCCCCTGACTCACACACATCGTGTCAGCACAGACCCTCCCTGCCTGGGTGACCCCCAGACACCACGTCTTTCTCAGTGCTCCAAGCTTTCTCAATGGCTTCTCTGGATGAAACACCTATGACCCCACTGGGATGTTGAAGCTGCTGGCCTAGTTCAGGTCCTGAGGGATTACTACAGAAGAGGAAAGGGCCACAATCGTGGTGGTGCCTTCTGGCTTCCAAAAAAGAAATGTGTAGTTTCAGAGCTAAAGAGAGTAGCCATAGTTGTTATTTATTAAGTACCTTCTGTATGCCAGAAGTCCTGTTTACATCATCTTCCCAGGGTGAGGGTTTTGTCCACTTTGTGCAGAGGATACCCAGATACAGAGAGGATTTTCTTTTGTAATACTAAACTATCTGAATGGAAGAGGTGAGCCTTGCCTACATGTGCCTTTGGCCAGTCACACTCTCCTGAAAAAAGGAGTTTGTCCTAGATATTCCTCTATGGGCTGGGGAGCTCAGAGGGATCAACCAGTGCCAGGTCCCCAAGAACTCAATAGATAGCAACTTCAGTTGTTTCTCAGTACCCATGGGATACCCATATCCAAAAATGTTCAAGGCCCTCAGCCAAGATGGGGGAGAATTGCGTGTAACCTACACACATCCTGCCATCTATTTTAAGTCATCTGGATTTCTTATAATACCAGATATGATGCAAATGCTATGTAAATAGTTGTTCTATGTGTTGTTTAGGGGATGGTGACAAGAAAAAGTCTGTCACTGTTCAGTACAGATCCAGCTTTTTCAGTGATCTCTCACATTTGCATTTGGTTAGATTTAAGCACAGCGAGCCCCTAGGGTCAGAAGGATGCTCTGCATCCCTTCCCCACTTTAGGATCCTAAGCTGCTGGTGTCTTGATGATGTGGCTTCTTCCAGTGACATGTTCCTTTCTGTGCCCTCAACATGTTAGGTTATTAAGGAGGGAGTTACATGTTCACAAGTGGAAAAGTGGCATTTGCTGTCTAGAAATGGTGCTGGGTCTTAAAGAGCAATTTGAACTAATGTTCAAGGGACACCACCTCCCTTCTAATCATCCATGTGCCCTTTCAGGACCAGAAATGCTTCTGCTTCCTTGGTGGGCCTGCTCACTGTCTGTCTGGTCACTATCTGGCTCTTTAATAATTTATTAGAAATCAAGAACCATCTTTGACTTTTTTCAACACGCAACACAAAAGCCCTCCAGATTAAAAAAAAATCCCTAGCCTCTCTCTTTCAAATGTGGAGCTTGGAATGGGTGAGATCTACTAAGATGTGTAAAGTGAGAAGAAATGCCATCAGTGAATCCCTAAGTTCTTATAGGAAAGACTTAAGAATGAAGTCTAGGGCTGGAGAGATAGTGGTTAAAAGAGCTTGTACTGCTCTTGCCAAGGACCCTATTTAGTTCCTGGTACCCACATTGGGTGGCTCACAACCACCCCTGATCCCAGCTCCAGGGGGTCCAGTGCCCTCTCTGGCTTCTTCAAGGAACACACTCACGTATAGACATACTTAAAAATTAATTTTTTAAATAAAAATCTGGGTCAATGACAGATCTGTGTGTCTTTATGTTTGAGAGGCATCTCTGTGTGTCTGTCATCCAATCCTCACTTCATCCAAAAGGAGAAACATTACCACCCATTTCTCAGGTGTGACTCTGGGAGGTGCGCACATCTCCAAGCAATGATCAGGTTCCACCTTCGTGGCTGTCCTACAGTGTGATTTGTTTCCTGTGTTTACTTCTACAAATACTTTGTCTGGGTTGGCAGAGTTTCCGAGAATGAAGTTAGGAGTAGTTAAAGCAAAGAATGAGATAGGTCAGCAATCTCGTGTATGCCCAGATCATGGAAACCCTTAATGCAGAGAAGACTTAGACCTAAGGCCTGGAACCTTTGCACCCTCCTCAGACAGAAGGCTAAGGACATGACCATCCCACCTTTATCAGGACAAAGATTAATGAATAGTGTCGCCAGGCTAGAGGTACAGTTTAGCATTAGAACGTGTACTTAGTGTGCATTAAGCCCCTGGGCCAACCCCAGGTGCTCCAGTAATGATGACGATATCTAGGTAGGTTGCTTACACCGTCACTGCCTTTGTCCGGCCTTTACAATCATATCTCTTGTCTATAAATGCTCCTCTAGCCAAACCTTCTCTACCTGTGGTATCCGGCCCAGAAAGCAGGGTCACACCTCCGCAGACAGCAAACTTCACCTGCAAGTCTCATGGCTTCTCTCCCCGGAATATTACCCTGAAGTGGTTCAAAGATAAGAACGAACTCTCCCGCTTCCAGACCACCGTGGACCCTAAGGGAGAGAGCATGTCCTACAACATCTCCAGTACAGTCCAGGTGCAGCTGAACACTGGGGACGTTCGTTCTCAGATCATCTGCGAGGTAGCCCACGAAACCTTGAAAGAACACCATCTTCATGGGACTGCAAACTTGTCTGACACCATCCGAGGTAGATGTCCTTGACTTATAGCCCAAGCATACAGCAGCCATCACCCTATGACTAGCACTATGCTGGTAGTTGCATTTATTTTCTCATCAGCAACTGCCACTGCTGGGCACCCAGTGTGAGCCGCACACCCCCGTACCTGGTAGTTCCATTTACTTTGCTCTAGTTACTGCATTCCTGCTCGTGCCAGAGTTGCATGCATTGACTCCATTCATTATCACCCTCACAGTAGCTACTAGACCCCAGACCAGGTACCCACTGTGTTCTGGGTGACTTCATTCATATTCAGGCCGCAGTGTTTGAGTCCCCGATGCATGCCTAGTAGTCCTGTGTTTGCTGTGGTGGGAGAGGACTCTGCAGCCCAAGATTAGAGCTTCTGCCTGTACCATTTCAGTTTTATCCAGCCTGGATGTCACCCAACAGCCCACAATGGCAGAGAACCAGTTGAACCTCACCTGCCACGTGCAGCAGTTCTACCCTAACAAACTCCTGCTGACCTGGCTGGAGAATGGAAACATATCACGGACAGACAGTTCCTCGGCTTTCACAGAAAACAAGAACTATAGCCAGACAGCGATCAAGGATGGGGCCTATAGCCGGACAATGAACAACGATGGGACCTACAGCTGGACAAGCTGGCTCCTGGTGAACAAATCTGCCTATAGAGAGAACGTGGTGTTCGCATGCCAGGTGGAACATGATGGGAAGCCAGCAGAAACCAAAAACCATACCGTGATGATCTTGCCCCAACAGAAGGAGCCAGGCATGGACACCACTCCTGGTGAGGCTTGCACTCCCATTGGCTGGCTTTTGTTTTGTTTTGTTTTGTTTTTAGCTTCACCTTGATGCTATGTTTTTTAATGTTAACGTCATATATAATGCTTATTATAGAACAGTCTATAAACTAAGCACAGTTTTAAAGTGGGTTCCTCTTCTCCAACTGTCATACCCTTGAGTCAGCACTGTTGAGAGTTTGGTTCCTGTCCTGTTGGGTCTTTTGACACAAAGAAGAGGGAAGGGGAAGAGGCCCGGTCTTTGCTTGCATCCTACCTCCTGTCTTCTTCACCTAACAACTGCTTTGTCCCCGTGTCCCCCCCCCCCGCCCCTCACTCTCTTTGGCCTCTGCTCCTTGCCCAGTGCCTGCTTGTGCCTCCTCCACCTCCCATAGATGCTGGGGGTTTGGCTCAAGGACAGCCAAGAGCATCCTCACTCATACTATCTCCAAACAGCTATTTCCATGGGACAGTCTTCCCATGACTGTTTCTAGAACAAAGTGTGTGTGTGTGTGTGTGTGTGTGTGTGTGTGTGTGTGTGTGTGTGTGTCTAGGACAGTGCTGTGCTCCACAGCCTGTCAGCAATGTCACCTCAGCCCCTCCAGTGTGCTTTCAGTCAAGAGCTCTTCTTTTGAAAGTGGCCACACACATTAGCTTTGTGGCTGTGTCCCATCGTCCGCCACCACCACAGCTGATGCCTTGTACGTAGCCGAGGCCCTGAAGGGAAGAGAACAGAGGCTGGTCTTCTCGCTCGTCCTTCAGAGAAGGTCCAGGAAACCCTCAGACCTGTGTTGGGTTCCTGTGATTGTTACCCATGCTTGATTCTCATAGGATGCATAGGACTTACAGGTAGGAAGTGTTGATGTCCACAGTGGCTCTATCACTGACTCGCTGTGTGGTCTTGAACAAGTCGGTGTCCCTCTCTGAGCCCCTGCTTGTGGTGGACATGTCGAAAGGGATAGATTTTGTCACTCCTCAGTTGGTAAGGGACATGACTGTCTTACCCAACACTGTGGCGTCAGAGCATACAAAACAGTAGGGAGAGGATGAAAGGTTGGGCAGTGGTTTGTTGGGTCATCCTTGATGCTATAGAGTGAGGTCGAGATTAGTACTAGCCTCAGCAGTAGAGGAAACCATCATGGGAACATGGTTCCACGGATGCAGATGAGGACTAGTTGGGGCACTTCTTTGAGTTCTCATTTCTGTGTCACAGAGCCCTACTCTTGACAGTACTGTTCTATGGTCTAGAACCTGCCTGGACCCTGCCATGAGCTACACACACACACACACACACACACACACACACACACACGGATTAGGTCCAGAGCCCTACTCTTGACAGTACTATGTTCTGTCTAGAACCTGCCTGGACCCTGCCATGAGCTACACACACACGCACACACGCACGCACGCACGCACGCACGCACGCATGCATGCACGTATTAAGTCCTAGGTCCAGAGGCTGTGAAGCCCGGTGTGCTTTGCAGAGCCCGTGCCAGCAGCATGTCCTTCACTCTCACCGTCTTCCCTGACCCTCCACCTGACAGCCACTGACCCACTGAGGTGGTTTCCAGTAGATCTGTCCTGTGCGCAGATGAGAAGGGATGGTTTTCCATTCCTTGGGATTGGAGTATGGTTTCTGCTGGTATTCTGCAGCTGCTTTCTCTGTGGCTGCTGTCAGTGTGTGTACTCCCTGCTCATGAGTGACCTGCATGGGTGGGTAGGCAAGCTAGACTAAGGAGAACCATCAAGATGCCCAGAGCTAAGGGTGACTGTAAGAAAGAGGCAGGCTTTCATGTTTTCTGTTTCTGAGTTGCATACCGGAAGTCCTTCTTCCTTGTTCTCAGATAATGACTCCTCCAGCCACAACATCTTCATCGCTGTGGGTGTGGTGTGCGCTCTGCTAGTAGTCCTGCTGATGGCAGCCCTCTACCTCCTCCGGATCAAACAGAGGAAAGGTGGGTGGGATCTCTGCTTTCTCTCAGGGTGGTCCTTCTCACAGGGTGGCCACTGGCTTCTTAAGCAGAAACAGCTTCCCCATGCTGGACTCTAAGATTATCAGTCCTCAGCCTTCCTCCCTTACTGCCCCAGGTCGCATGTCCTCATGGGATCGCTACTGAGGTAGCAGGAAACACAGAGCTGCCAGGGAGGCAAGGGGGTCCTCAGGGACTCTTCCTGCCAGCCTCAGAGAGGAAATGCCTGAGCTGTCCCTTATATGTGTGCAGGTTCCATGTTAACAGACTCCCCAGTTAGCTCTCCCATTTACTCCAATGAACGTGGGAGGCTGGCAGAGTTTCCATGTAAGATATTAGGCAAGTGCCTGGATACACAACACTTAATACAGGCAGCTCCTACAGCCAGTGTCATATGTAAGCCTCTCGCAGGAAAGCTCCTTCCCAGCAGCAAGGTTCTTGGCCTCCAATTCCACAGGGGAAGGTGCGAGTTTCAGGCCAGGCCATCTTTCCATTGTGTGTGGTTATGGCTGTGCCAGGCCTCAGACCCTGAAGATAGCAAACAGACTCCATACCCTTTTTCATACTCATCATCTCAGCCTCCACCAGCTTCCCTCCCCCTATCTGAGATTGCTTTATCGTTGTATTTGGCCACAGCAACAGCAGAGAAAACTGGCAAGTTCATCTGACTTGTTTGAGGTCGCACCACTCATTAGGGGCACTGATTTGGAGGGTAGCTACGAGGCCCGAGTGAACTGCTGTGTAATATCAGGTCTGCCACATTCCAGGACCTACCAGTAGAGATCTTCTTCACTCTGCTGGAGGAGATGTTTTGTGGTGCTTTTCCATAATGTTTATGGATATAACATTTTACATTTCAACTCAGTACCCCCCTTTATATCAGTTTGAAACTCCGAGATTTTCTTTTTTATATTCTGTTCTCTTTGCTGTTAAAAAAAAATGCCCATTGTGGCCCTCATAAACTATAGCCTGAAAACAAGCACTATCCTGAGCTGCCATTCTGTAGCTGTGTGTCCGCTTAGGAGGGACAGTGTGGCCCACCAGTCCCGTCAGCACCCCTCCATCTGTGTCCCACAGGTTCTGTTCCATCCGGACCAATTGGAAGGGCTCATCTCTGAGGCAGCAGCCAAGCCTCATGTCCTATCTGAGGACTTGAGACCTCGGTTATTTTTGCATGACTGTTCCCAGAATGCCTTGAGAGGGGCACATACTCGAGGTAGACATTGGTAAAATCCTAGTTGAAGTAGACACTGTTGAAAACCCCAGTCGAGGTAGACCTTGGTGAATCCTAGCTGTCCTGTCAGAGGCCTAGCACTGGGTGCAGGCAAGCTCCCCATGGGAGCTCATTGTGTGTGGCTCAGCATCAAGACCTAAGAGGTCAGAGGAGGAATAGCAGCCTGAAGGGCTGTGAACACAGGAGACCACCCAGCCCCTGAGTGGTGAGTGTATGCAGAGCCCAGCTCCCAAACACAGGCTCAAGCAACAGGGACAGCCAAAATGCTAGCCTAGGCCCACAGTACCCCTAATGCTTTGCATGTAATAATGCAATCAATTCTTGCCTCAGACCTTGGGGATCTCATTGACCCATTTTACAGATGAGACAGAGGCATGCAGCATTATAAAACTTGTTCAGAACCTCATGGCTGGTAGGCCAGAATTCAGAGCCAGAGAGCACAATTGGGTCTCCTCTCCACACCATACCACCCCCTTTCTCCTCTACACTGAAGAGCCACCCTTCTCCCCTATCCTGGCTGCATTCAGGGTGAAGGGCCCCATTTTTACCTGCCAGCTATGTGGGTCTGAGAAGATACCATTGCTTGATTTAAAATGAGGATGGTCTCTGTCCTTGATCTCCCAAAGAATGGCTGTGCCCAATACTTGGGTCCAGGGCCCTTGTTCAGATATGGCATGCTGACTGCAGCCCCGTCTACACCTGCTGTCCTGTAGATTCAGTTCATGGAAAGTCCCAGCCTGCCCCACCCGGCTGCCTGAACCCATTGTCCTTGGGTGGCCCGTGCAAAGTGCAGTGCTGAGCCTATCTCAGTGCATATGTTGTTTCTTAGTTATAATTTTATAACAAAATGGGATTCAAACTGCTGTAGATACCATCTCCTGGCTGGACATTAGGCCTTCCCTAAGCTAATCTCCCCATGTCCCTAAAGCAAATCTTGGCTTAAGGAAAGTTACACATTGAATTGTTTCTGGTTAAATAACCAACCACTTTTTCTTTTCTTTTTCTCTTTCAGCTAAGGGATCAACTTCTTCCACAAGGTAAGCGCATCTGTGGACCAGGACGCTATTGTAGTCACATTTTATTTTTAAGTGTGTGTGTGTGTGTGTATGTGTGTGTGTACACATGTGTGTGCGGCAGCATGCATTTGACGGTCAGTGAATACCGTGGTCCTTGCCTTCACTGTGTGTGAGATCAACCTTCTGGTTCCGCTATGCAGGCCAGGTTAGCTGGCCGATGAACTGGGACTCTCCTTCCTCATCACCCATCTCCCCTTAGGATGGCTGGGATTACAGAGAGACTTAAGCTGCCTCCTCTGGCTTCTGTGGGTTCTGGAGAACACAGCATTGCCAGCTACTCAGACCACTACTCCCCTTTTTAGTTACCTGACAGATCCTAAAATAATATAAATCACTGACCCTCACTCATACCTGTCCACATTCCTTCCTCTCTTGTTCCCTGCTTGTCAGGACTATTTTTAATTATTGCCTGAAAGGAGTAGGTTTCAGGGCACATTGGCATTGGTAGCTCAGGTCCTTTGCCCAGTCCCCAGTGACAGTGATGGGGGTAGCCTCCTTCCTTACATCCCCTGTGTTCACGAAATCCTGTACACTCCACTAAGGCTTGGACTCATCTCTCCTTCCTTCTGCCAAGTACCTCACTAGAATGTAGCCTGAGGACCAGCTGTAGTGGGAGGGGAAGTTCTTCTGAGGTGACAGCCTGCTCAGGAGCTCAGGTGGTGACATCGCAGGACACCTTAGTGCTGTTTTGCTTTTTGGTTTTGGTTTTTGTTTTTATGTTCAAGGGGACTTACTTATTGCAGAGCTCTGTTCGAGGAGCTGGGGTAAAACCCAGGCTCAGACTTGGTGAGGAAGTGAATGTGGAAACAGCCATCCAGAGTATGGTGGCTCCAACACAGCAGGGATGAGTGGCCATGTATGGCTCAGGCAAAGGAAGCCACAGCCTCTGAAGAGACACGTGAGGAGGGAGCTAAAGCCAGGGGCTCCAGGTCAGGCTGAGTACGCTTGGACAAGAAAACAGGTAGAGCTGAACCTGGAATGGGGAGACCCAACTGACTGGGGCACAGGAAGGCAAGAGATAAGGACATCCATGTAGCCAAGCGAGGGTTGCCCCTCTTGGAGAAAGGCTTTTTGGCTCATAGATGGGCCCTGGTGCTCCCCAGCAGAGTAGGACAGCATCCCATAGTCTGTTGTGTGAATGTGCCAGTGTGTGATACAAAATCGTAAATGGCTTCATGTTGGTTCGGGTGAAGTGAGCTGTGCAGATCTTTCCTTCCTTCCTTCCTCCATCTCTCTCTCTCTCTCTCTCTCTCTCTCTCTCTCTCTCTCTCTCTCTCTCTCTCTCTCTCTCTCTCCTTCCCTTCCTTCTGGAGTTCAGTGTCTGGAGTGGAAGCCAGTACTATAGAGCTTGTGACAGTGGGGACTTGGGTGGTTCCATGAAGAGATGTGATCTAGCTTTTGTTTTCCAAATCTCGCCTTCTCTGTGTGTAGACGCTAGGTGGCCGGTGGGGTGGAAGCAAAAAGGCTAACGAGGAAATGACTGCAGTGCTCTAAGCAGATGGTGAAGGCTTGGGCCAGGTGGAGTGTGGGCTGAGATGTGGTCAGATTCTGGTTGTGTTCTACAGACAGAGCCAAGAGGACTTGCTGGTAAACGGATCATAGAGTCAAAGACAACTCATATTTGGGGACAGTAAGGCATCTGTCCTGGCTAGAGGACCATCAGTAATGGGAGTTGTGGATGCACGTAGTAGCGACACCTCACCTACCCCCAGGGCCTCTTTGGAGCCTCAGTCTGCTTCTGTCTGCCCACGGAGAGTGTGTGCAATGCCCTTGGGACGAGCCTTGCCTCCTGTTTTGGTCTCCCTGTCCAGCCTCCCAGCCTCCGCCCTTGAACATGCTCATCACTGTACCCCACCACCACCCTCAGGAACCCTGCCCCCCACCCTCACTCTGCTTGTCACATTCCTTCACCCGCTACAGTCTTCAAGGACAAGGCTTGTCTCTTTCCTCTGCTCAGAGTCCGTCACTCGCTCTCTATGGGCCTTCAAGCCTAAGTCCAAAGGCCTTAAGGCCCGGCCCCTGCCAGTTCTGTCCAACCCTGAGGCTTCACACTGGACTGGGTCTCTTTTCACTCCTGATACATAGGGGGCCCTAGTTTTCCTCCCAGCCTGTTCACACTGGCCCCTTCCACACATGTACCCTCCAGGGGTTCTAATGGCTATGGGGACACCGTGAACCCTGCAAACAGCACTTCTGGAGCGGTGCACCATAGTAGCTAGAGTCGCCGTCTTTTTCACCTGGTCCCCTCCTTCTTCAATGAGACCAGTACGTCCTCCTGTCAGGAGGCTTTCTGTGAGCCTCTGCATGAGCATCCGGATATGTATGAAGTAGCTCTGGCTTGTCTCCGTTTTCTTGACCATATCTCTTCAACAAAGGGACTGTGCCCCTCCTGCCACCAGCAGCTCCTGCACTTGGTGCCGTCCCTGAGATGGATTAAGTTCTTCATAAAGGCTTGTTGAATGAAAGAGTGACTGAATAATTGTCACTCCCACCACTGCAGTCAGTGCCTGTGAGCTCTGCGCCCCTGAAGCACCTTCCCTGTGGAGGAGTCGCTGTCCAGTTTGTTGCTGTTGTTTTCCACTTGTCTTACTTTGTTAGTGTCATTCTAGAAGAAAAAGTGGCATCATGAGATTGACAATGGCAACCACAGCTTCTGTTTAGTGAGCACTTACTATGTCCCAAGGCCCTTCTGTCCCTTTACTCGTATCATCCCACTGGTGATCATGAGTTTTTATTCCTATCCTTGTTGAAGGACAGTGGTTCCCAGACTTGAGTGTGGCTGAAGCCTCGAGGGCTGTTAAATACAAACCAAAGCTGAGCCTCTGATTCCGACTCCATGCCACGCTTTGGGCGCCTCTGTCTCAGGAGGTTATTATAGTCTGCCTTCTGTGGTTGAGGCAGCCAAGATCTGAGAATGCAGCGTAATGCCGGACTGCCCCAGGCCTGTACAGGGCTTCTGGTACTGACACCTGCATGTACCCATTGATGCTCTGCTGCCTCTCGCCATCTGTTTCTTCCTCCAGAGAAGCAGGACATTTTCAGCCCTTTCATATTATTCCAGTGTGAGCCTACCCAGGGAGCTAAATGACTAGCTTCTTTCATGTCTCCAGACCAAAGTGATGGTGGGTAGCAAGCCTTAATGGTGGTTTCCTGGGCAGCAGTGGCTCTGGCCCAGCATGGGATCAAATACTTCCTGAAAGACACTGGTGCTGGTGTAGGAGACAGCCTAGCACCTCAGAGAGGGTGGCTGGGACCCTGCGCTTTTGAACTCAAAGGGCCCTGCAGGCTTCTGGCTGGCCACGGGCCCAGCCTCTGACACACAGGCAGAGCACTGTTATCCCCACCCACACAAGAGTGTCGTCTGCTCTTTTATTGGACACTGGGGTTCGTTTGGACGGCCATTGTTTAAGTGTGACACATTCACTGCATTTATTCTCAGAATACCAGGACTACCCCGATTGTTCATTTATTTGTTCGGATTGAGCTCATCTTGGAGCCAGACTCAGAGGAATTCAGTGAGAAAATGCTCAGCCATTCATTCAGCAAGTGTCTGTGGAGGGAGTAGAAGCCCTGAGCTACCTCAGGACTTAGGTGCTAGGGTCTCATCGTCCCCTGGGAGGCAGGCAGCTCACCATGCAATCTAGAAGCTTGATGGTCGATATTCAGCAAGAGCCAGGAAAGGTAAAACGAGGCAGAGCAAAAGAGTGGTCAGGGAAGGCTTCCCTGAGGAGGCAAATTCAGAAGACAGCGAGTGGAGGCCATCAGGGGCAGAAGTGCACCAGACAAGGATAGCTAATGCCAAGGCCCTGAGGCAGGAGAGTGGATGAGGCTAGATTAGCTAGAGTGCACGGAAGGAAGCCTACAGCGGGTCAGGAACAGGCTATGCACAGCCCCATCAATCAGGATGTGGAGTGGACTACACTGGTAAGGGTTCTAGACAGAAAGATGATTGCTGCTGCTGCTGCTGCTTTGGTTTTTGTTTTTTGGTTTTTGTTTTGTAATGGGAGTCTCAATATGTAACCCAGACAGGCCTTGAACTTGAACCCCTGCCTCAGCCTCCTGATACTGGGATTATAGAGATGAACCAACATGCCTGGCTTTCACTTACGCATTATAAAAGCATGAAATGTAGGGAGGGAAACCAGGAGATTCCACAGCCTGGGGACCTGGGACCAGCAACACAAGATGACCAAGTAGCCGAATTTGATGTTGCCTTAGGAAATGGCTAGTTCGCCTTGTGAAGAGAGAGAAGATTTTAGGATATGCCCCACTTTAGTCTGAGCCCAAGATGAATAATGATGGTGCCTTATTTTAAAACAGAGTGGACCAATGCTTACAGTGCTGAACACTGCTCTGAAAGACAGGAACGGTCTCCTGAGAACAGAGTTCGGAAGTTCTGTGAAGGTTCAGATAAGGCCGTTTAAAATAGGATTTCAAGCCAGGCACAGTGGTGCACACTTTTAATCCCAGCACTCGGGAAGCAGAGGCGAGTGGATCTCTATGAGTTCAAGGCCAGCGCAGGCTACACAGTGAGACCCTGTCTCCAAAGAAAAGTATTAAAATAGGATTTCGAAGATCTGAAGGGAGAGTTGTCTGTGCAAAGGCCTTGGGGGCCATTCGACGGGCACTTGCTTCAAGGTTGGGTGCGTGGGTCTGTGGCAAGACAGCTTGGCAAGGAGGGACAGAACACAGAAATGAAGGTGTGTGAGGTTGTCGAGAGCAGCAGCCCTCTCGGTGAAGCCTTCTAGGGAGCAAACACATAGCCGAGTCCTAAAGTTAACCATGTAAGTTAACCAAGACAGAGTTGTAAGGAGACTTCCTAGTTAGTTTTTTGTCAACTTGACACAAAGTCATCAGAGAGGAGGGAAACACAATCAAGAAAGTGTTTCCTTGAGACTGAGGTGTAGGAAAGCCTGTAAGGCATTTCTTTAATTAGTGATAGATGGAAGAGGGCCCAGCCCATTGCAGGTGGTGCCATCCCTGGCGGTCCTGGGTTCTATGAGAAAGCAGGTCCAGCCAGCCATGAGAAGCAAGCCAGTAAGCACTCCCCTCTGTGACTTCATCAGCTCCTGTCTCCTGCCCTGCTCTTTCAATGATAACAGTGATAAGGAAGCATACACCTAACAGACCATTTCCTCTCCAGGTTGCTTTGGTGTTTCACCACAGCGATAGAACTGAGTCGCTCAAAGCTATTGCTAAAGCAGAAAATGCAAAAGCAGCAGTAGCCCTCATGCATAGCCAGTGTGTAGACATGGGCCTGAGTAAGGGTAGTGAAGTGAACAGACGCAGCAGACCATGGTGGGGGGCTGGGGAGGGGGTTGTGAACACCGTGGTGATCAGTTATGGACCAAACAAGCAAAGGAGACTGCAGAAGATGGGAGCTGGTGACTGGGGAGAGTGGTGTGACCTCCATCAGCCATGTCCTGGATCCTAGAGGACCATTTGGCCACCTGGGACACTTTATGATCCAAGCACTCGTGACAGCTTTATCAGAAACCCTGCTGCCAAGCCCCATTGCTTGTTCCGATATCATTCATGCTCTTGTGCACCAAGTCTCTGCCTTGAACATTTATGTAACCCAGTGGCTTCAGCTTGCTCATCACCTTCACCATGACCCTCCAGTGAGCCACGCACGCCTGGGCTCTGACTGCAGAATCGGGGGCATGAACAGTTATTGTTGTTGTTTATTCAGCAAGGCATTTTGATCTTTCTTCTTCCTTTTCTTTTAACAGCACTGCATAGATATATTTATAATATAGAACATTTTGGGAGGTATGGGAAACTAAAACAAAGAAGGATGCTCAGAAGACCACTGCTATTAGCATTTTCTTTCCAGTTTTCCATGTATTTTCAGTGAGGGTACTTCATGGAGATTCGATTTTTTTTTTTTTTTTCACTTAATGAATGCATTTGTAACAACAACAACAAAGCACCTCCTAGGACTGGAGATGTGACTGAAATACTCCACTCTGTTAGCATGGACAAGGCAGTGGGATGTCTCCCCAGCACCCCAAAAATAAAATGGAAACTTCTCATCTGCTCTTTGAATACAAAATGGTTTGGTTTATGCTGATTTCCCCCAACCCACTGCCCATTGGCAAAGTACTAGGATGTGAATTTACTTCCACATCTTGTCCAGGGCACATGCCTTTGTATATTGAGTCCCCCAGGAAGGTACAGTCGTGAGCCAAAAGATGGGACATTATCTCTGCTCGGGATTTGTCCCCCACTTCCCAAAGGCTAGCCCTGGCTTGCCTCCCCCTCAGCATTGCATTGCGGTGGAGGGGGTACCTCTTCATCCCACCTCCCTCGTTGTTTTTAAAGATCCTTCCAACAGAGGCTTTTACAAAAGTGAGTGTGCGTTGTTTAGAATTCCCTCAGTGACACTGGCTCCTGTGTCCAGACATTTGATAAGCAATTATGGTCCCTCCCCCACTCATGTAGGAAGTAGGGCCTGAATGTTATTCTGATTGATTTGCATAAGCTCTTGTGATGGTATTTTTATCTGTGTCTCTTTCCGTTTTAGGTTGCACGAGCCCGAGAAGAATACCAGGGAAATAACCCAGGTACAGTCTTTGATGAGCTGCCCTTCCTGGGAAACTTGGGGTGTGATTTCCTTGCTCCAGCCGGAGTTGCAGATCTAGTTCTAAATTAAGACTGGGGGGGGGGGGTAGGGAGGATCTGTGCATTACTGAATCACCCATGAGTCCTCTGCACCCTCCTCTGTGCCCCAGCCCGCAGCCATTGCACAACTCCAGGGGGGATACCAAGAGCAAAGTGTCCCAAGCGAAGGGTGCCTCCTTTGTGTTGCACATCCCTGTTTCACCATCAGCTGCTCACCCCCACCCACTCGGAGCCTGGCTCTTCCCTGCCAGCTACCGCCACTCCTGCCTTTGTGGAGGAGGAAAGGCCCCGGGTCACTAATTACCTGGGTTAAAAGGGTACCTTCCCTGACCTGGTAGATTCTCCCTGCATTGATAAGGAGATTTTATAGGCAGCCTTGTTGGTGTATATCACAGACCCCAGAGCCCCACTGTCTCTGTCCCATATGTCAGTTCTGGGCACACAGGGTCCCTCCAAGCCTGGTAACAAGACAAGTCCTGCCCTGGACCTGGAATGGAAGCACCAGCTTTCCTGCCACTCCCAAGGCTGCTAACACATAGCCAGGCTGGGAAAGATGCAGGGTTTGGAGGCCGGACACCTTGTTTTGCCGCCCCTACCTGCCCTGGGCATATGCTGAGTGGTAATCCGGCAAATATAAAGCGGTTTCTAATCATGGCAGCCAGAATCCTTTCCCCCTATTTTGTTTCCGAACTTCTTCTGGAATCTTCTAGGTAAGAGATGATGGTGAGAATTGGTTACTGAAGCCTGTAAAAGTACACAGCCCAAGACTTACTGACTGAGTATACAACTAAGTGCCCGGTCCTGGAGCAAGGTGGCCACTTTTGCTTTAGGTTCCCAGTGCCAGGTGTTGTTCCTTACCCTCAGGGAGAGATACCAGTTCAGTCCACATGATTTCCTGGGCAGCACTGAGTAGTAACTGCAGGGCTCAGGATAGAGGTGCCACGGTATGGGAAGTCCACCACTTTAGGGTCCAACAGGCTTTATCTCTTTTTTTCAGCTGAGTGACTTAGCCCAAATTATTGAATTTTCATCTACTCCCTAGGTCAATTTCCCCCCACCCCCCTGTAAAATAGGGTCAGTAATTCTTCCTGAGCAGAGTTGAAGGCAAGCCTAAGTGACTGTGTGATTCCATATAGCCAGCCAGCCATCCTTCCTTCTGTCTGTTCGTCTCTCCATCCATCCTGTCACCATGGGTTAGGTAGGCCTCTGTGCTAGCCTCGTTGTCTACGGCTTAACAAATGCCCAGTAAAAAGCTGTGGAATATGCCAGGCAGTGGTAGTGTACACCTTTAATCCCAGCACTCGGGAGATAGAGGCAGGCGGATCTTTGTGCATTTGAGGCCAGCCTGGTCTACAGAGTGAGTTCCAGGACAGCCAGAGCTACACAGAGAAACCCTGTCTCTGACCCCCCCACCACCACCAAAAAAAAAAAAGAAAGAAAAGAAAAAGAAAAAGTTGTGGAATAAACATGAAAATGAAGTATTCCCTATCTCCTGGGAAATCGTATTTACTAAGGTTACAAAACAGACACAGTCTTCGGTGGTAGACGCCACAGTTGGGAGATGAGAACTGAAGAGCTCAGAGGGGCTCTGGGCCCGGTCAGAGGCTTCGAGGGCCAAGAAGTAAGTACCTTAGGCTGCAGCAGGCTAGAGCAGAGCTGTAGGTGGTACCCTGGGTCTCTTACGAGAAGTGGGGGTGGGTACTCCGGGCCAAGGAAGAGGCATGGCAAGGGGGCTAAGAGAGCTGCGGTGGCGAGATAACCACCTTAGTGTTTCTAAGGCCCTCCGGGCTCCGTGTGGGGGAAGGCGAGTTGAAGGGAGAAAGGCGGGAAATAAAACCACATCGGCAGGGGCAAAGTAGCAGGCAGACTTTGTAGTCAATTGATGGGTGAGCAGGCTAGAGCTCCAGAATGACTTTCTCTCTGTGTCTTTTAGATCCAGGACACAAATGACATCAATGACATCACATATGCAGACCTGAATCTGCCCAAAGAGAAGAAACCTGCCCCCCGGGTCCCCGAGACCAACAACCACACAGAATATGCGAGCATTGAGGCAGGCAAACTGCCTAGACCAGAGGATACCCTCACCTATGCCGACCTGGACATGGTCCACCTTAGCCGGGCACAGCCAGGCCCCAAGCCTGAGCCATCCTTCTCAGAGTATGCCAGTGTCCAGGTCCAGAGGAAGTGAATGGGACTGTGGTCGGCTCTAGGGCCCATATCCACAAGTTTTCTTGTCTCTCATGGAGTGGCCATGTTGAGGACACCCCCAGAAGGCCAGATGGCACAGGTCCTAGGGCCACGAGTAAGGGTGGCCTTTGTCTTCCCTGCTTGGCTCTCCAGTATTTCTAGGACAGCCATGTCCCCTTCTTCTGGAAGCTGGTGTTGCAGAACCAGAGGGGGAACTGGAGGAAGCTTCCTGGAATCCAAGAAGTGTGCCTCGGCCCATCACACGTGGGTCTGGATCCTGGTCTTGGCAGCTCCAGGTTGCTTCCTTGATGCTGGTTCTCTATGTGGAGAGGAGCCCCCACCTCCACCCAACTTGGGCTTTGGGGCAAGAATCCCTTTAGATCAGACTGTCCTGTCCATGGAAGAACTACATCAGGAGACAGCAAGTTCTCAGCCAACAGTGCTGGCTTCCCACCTGCCAGGCCCACTAGCCCTGGGGGAGATGGAACCCTCTCTCCTAGACCAGCAGACTCCCTGGGCATGCTCAATGTGGCCCCACCTCCTTTCCAGTCCCAGCTTGCTTCCTCCAGCTAGCACTAACTCAGCAGCATCGCTCTGTGGACACCTGTAAATTATTGAGAAATGTGAACTGTGCAGTCTTGAAGCTAAGGTGTTAGAAAATTTGATTTGTGCTGTTTCGTTGTTGTTGGTTTATTTTTTCTCTCTTTATTTTATTTTATTTTATTTTTTTTCTTAAGACAACAGCAGCAGCATCCTGGCTCTTTGTCATGTGTTGAATGGTTGGGTCTTGTGAAGTCTGAGGTCTAACAGTTTCTTGTCCTGGAAGGATTTTCTTGCAGCAGAAACCGATTTTTCCAATTCCCAGAACTCTGAGGACCAAAAGGGATCCCTCAGCTGCTACTTTCAGGCACTCAGCCTCACTGGGATGAACCGGGCCCTGTTCTTACACAGCCACGTGGCTGGCTGGCCCTTTCTTTGCCTCCATGGCTGCTGTGGTAAGTGCAGCCTTGTCTGACCCAATGCTGACCTAATGTTGGCCGGAGGTCAGTGACAACCTCCTTCCCTCACAAGCACCTCAGAGGCATGCAGAGAGAAGGACCGCTCGGCCAACAGCCGGCGTTCAGTACACTGAGGTGATCAATGCAGGAGTCCATTATTGCCGGCAAACCTCAGCAGGGTTGCACTGGGACAGAACCTGGTCATAACTGTGACCACACAGCTGTGAGCTAGGGCAGAACCCCTCTGTCACTGACTGGCGAGTCTGGGCAGAAGCTCTGACCCACACCCTTTAAACTGGATGTCGGGGCCTGAGTGGGCCAGCAGCAGGCAGATGTTACAACCCTGGCTGTCTGGTCTTAGATGTAGCTCAGTAAGTTGAGGCCCTAATGTCCCTGATCCCTGGGGACCCCTGGTTCAGTTAGTTATTCAAGTGAAAAGCTGAGCCAACCTGCCTGTTTCTGTAAGTGTGACAGGGGGATGTGGGGAACACAGCAAGGACCCAGCTCTCTAGGGCTGGTGACCTGATACTTCTCGTGATGGCATCCAGGAGTTAGCCGAGCCAATAGACTGTGTTGGCAGCACTGGACCAGCAAACCAGAACTTGTCTTTGACATCTGGGACCCATGGTGGCCCTGCCATCTTCTTGGGCTGTCTTCTAATTCCAAAGGATTGGTTTGTAAACCTCCATCCCCGTCTCCTCTGCCTAGAGACAGCACACGAGTATACACACAGGTGAATAGACCGGTTCAAAGGATGGCCTCTCACTGACATCCTAATTTCGTCTTGAGTTTTTTTGGAGGGAGGCAGGGAAGGTGTATAGCTATAGCTTTAGCTGGGGAGCCTAGAGGGCCCCCAAATGTATGTACGGAACCCTGGTAGAAGGAAGAGGCGAAAAGCGCCCTGTGAGAGAGTGGGACTCCAGTTTATCTGTAGACCAGATGAGAAGGAAACAGGCCCCATTTTGTACATAGTTGCAACTTAAAATTTTTGGCTTGCAAAATATTTTTGTAATAAAGATTTCTGGGTAACAATGATGCCTTTGGGTGTTGAAATCCTTGTCTTTGGGGCTCTGTCCTCAGAGTCTGCCGGGTGTCTGTCCCCTGGATCTGAGGATGAGGATGGACTGTGCCAAGGCTTCAAACCATTCTGTGTAACTTGGTCCCTTCCAGGCCTTACAGTTGTAAAGGTCTGTCCCTGGGCTCAGAGAGAGGCACAGCAGTGTTGGCTGTGCTGAAAACCCACACGCAGATTTTACCCTCTCTCTAGTACTTCAGTCTTGTGGGGATTTGGACACTTCACCCACCCACCTGCTACCTCAGGGACCTTGGCTGCACATTGGGGTTTAATTGTTTCCCCTCCCAGGGTTCCTTGGGGATTAAAGGAACACCCTGTGCTACAGGGCAGGTCCATACTGGATGTTAGGCTGGCCCTCTCTGCCTGCCCAATGGTGTTGATGACCCCTGCCTTAGGCTTTATATTTCTATGATAACTCGCTATGACCAAAAGTGACTTGGGTTTGTTTGGCTTACACTTACACATCAGAGTCTACCATCGAAGGAAGTCAGGGCAGGAACTATTGTGAGGTCATAGATGTGTTCCCCCTGTGCCTTGGTGTCCTTTCAGCCAGACCATGAACTTCCCGCCCCAGAAATTCATACTCCATCTTTAGTGCCCAGACCCTAGAATAAGGGAGGCATTGGTCTACCTTGTGTGTTAGCCAACTTTTTGTCACTGTGACAAAACACCTGGAAAAATAAGGTAATGCTCTAAGGTTTCAGAGATTTCTATCTGTGGTTAGCTGGCCCCATTGCTATGGGCCTGTAGTAAGACAGAGCATAATGGCAATGGAAGAGAAACATGTCAGCAGAGGTCCCTTACCTCATGGGCAGCTAGGAAGAAGGGTCCAAGGACAAGACAGACCCTTCAAAGACATGCCTCCAGGGAATGCTTCCTCCACCCTGCCCCATCTTCCAGCAATAGCCTATTAGTTCAGACATAGTCCTATGGTCCATCCCCTCCCGTTGATTCCATCCACCAGTGACAGATGAAGCCTTCACCACATAAGCCTTTGGAGAGAGCTCTCTCCTCTCTAAGCAACACAGGGTGCCTGAGAGTCTTGTGGTCTCTTGTATTCTTCAATTCATGGAGACTTGGCAGATGGGTGCTGTGATGTCCATTTCACAGGAAGGAAAATGTAGCTCAGAGAGGTAAAGTGACACATTCCAGATCACTCATTGAGTTAATAACTGTTTCTCAAGATCCTGCTGGGAGCCAGGCCTTTCACAAAATTCTGAGAATGCAGTGTTGCCACACCCATATGAGCTCATGGGGCAGGAGGAAGTGAGAGCTGCTAGCAATCCTAATAGCACTGCTGTGACTGCCCATGGCCCCAATACAGAGTGAGATCATCAGCCAGGGAGCAAGGGTCCCCCTGCAGGAGGGCAGCCCTGCTGCCTAAAGGGAAGGGATGAAGGGGATGTGAGGGAAGGAAAAAAAAAAAAAGTCGTTAGATACAATTTGTTTACCCGATAAACCAGATTTCAAGAGTTATCTTTCTTGCTAAACATGCTAGTTGTCCCTCACCCAGACAAAATCTACAAATGGGATGTCATAACTTTATATAATCTGGGCCCTAATCAAATGACAGAAAACAAGCTCAGCTGTCTTCCTTGTCAGGACTAATTAATCCTTCAGTAGTGCGTTTAAAGACTGCTCTATTCTGGTGAGGAGGAAAAACATCCCCTCCTTTTGCTTACTTCTAAGTTTGGGGTACTTTTTCTTATTAGATGAAAACGCATGGGTTTCCTAAGCCTGCATGAGACAAAACAGCTTTCCAGAGAAGGAATCCCCAAGCTGAGATCTAAATGAGTCATGTTGTACAGGCAGAGCCCTGCCTTCCCTGACAGTACTGGCCCCCACCAGAGCTGCACGCCCCCTTCATGGTACTCTCTCTGTCACCCCTGCACAGGCAATCAGCCTCTTGACAGCTTGGAAAATGGCCACAAGGTCTTTGTACATGGTTGCTCTGCCCAGAACACGCCCTTTCTACTTGCCCTCCAATCGGAATAGTGGGTATTATTCATTTGTTAGACATGTCATAACTGTCTAGCAATTCTTTGGAACCCATATCACAATTTGTAATCACACATGGATCTTGTTTTGGTTGACTAGCATGCCTCTCCTATGGTACCCTGGGAGCGGTCTGATTGTAAATAGGGTATTGGACTACGTTCCTTCACATAATTCCCATGACCAGCCCCTAGATAGCATCCAACAAATAATTGTTTGAAGGGTGAGAGAATGGATAAAAAGGTGGGAGGGTGGAGGGTGAGTAGATGGATTGCTAGATGAAAGGATGGATGGGTAAGTGGGTGGATAGATGGATGGACAGACAGGAAGAGAGGAAAGAAAGAAAGAGGGAAGAGAAAGGACATAGTTGGACGCCTACTTGGCATCTTAGGAACACTAAGACCTCCTTAAGAATTAGATTCAAGCCCTAGTCCCCGAACTTTTCCCACTGAGCTTCTCTGTCATTTGTTATGGTCCTGGGTACATTTTTCCAACTGGCAAGGAGCCAGTGACACTTGTTTAAGCCCTTGGTACCTCTTCTTGGGAAGCTGGGGCTATACATAGAAAACAGGATGAAAGAATACAACCATATTCAAATAAACGCAGGAAACATTTTAAAGGGCATAAAAGATAAATATTTGAATTGCTATTTTAAACATGATACTAAATAAAAGACATATTGTTGAGGCTGAAAGACAGCCTAACAATTTAGGGCACTTGTTCTTGCAATGGACCCAGGTTTAATCCCCAGCCATCAGTAGCTCTAGTTCCAGGGGATTTCATGCCCTGCTCTGACCTCCATGGGCACTAAGCATGAATGTGGTACACATACTCACAAACAAAATATTCATATGCATAAAATAAATAAATAATATATTTTAGAGAAATTAATTATTAATGTAAGATTTTTCACTTTGCTAACACCATATACAAAAATCCAAATGGATAAAACTTAGATGTAAGAGGTAACACTATAAAGCTCATCTAAGAAAACATAGGATGAGGCTTAATGACTCTGGGTAGAACAGTGACATTTTTGGATATAATACCAAACATCCAGACAACAACAACAACAAAAACCCAACAAGTTGTACTTCATCAAAATTAATAACTTGCTAGGCATCATGACACAAGCCTGTAATACCAACATTGGGAAGCAGAAGCAAGCAGATCTCTGCGTTTGAGGTCATTGTGGTCTACATAGTGAGTCACAGGACATCCAGGACTAAACAGGAAGATCCCATGTCAAAAACAAAACAAAACAAAAACCTTTAACACTTCTGTTCTTCAAAGGGCACTATTACCAGAATAAAAAGTCAACCCATTCAGTACAAGAAAACAACTATAAGTCATGTATCTGCTAAGAAATTAATATATAGAATATATAAAGAACACCTCAATAAAACTTTCAACATCTACTTCTCTGATCTAGTCCAAGAAAACTCACTTAGTTCCCTATCCAGTCTTCTCCCAAATCTGCTACATCTAGTCTGGGCCTCTCATTTAATGCTCAACCTAGTCTAACCATGCCTGCCTGCATTACAGCCAACCTAGGCTTCCACCAGGACACTCCCTACCTGTAACGCTCCACATATCTCTAATTCTTACAACCATTACACCAAAGCAGACATCCCACTTCCTTCTCCAGGGTCTAGCCATGTGAGTCTTCTTGGCCCCCCATTCATACCTTTACTAAAACTACTCCCACCCCTGCCTGCACTACAAATGATCTCTTTGGATAAGACCTACCCTACCTATTCCCCAACTCAGGACCCTTCCATGCAATATCCAACCTTCCACCCAGCCAAATCTACCACCAAAGTCTAGGCTTAGATCAGGAAGTGCATACTGCCCAGTCCCCTCCATGTGCATTACTTCATTCCACCCAAGCCATTTCCAACTTCTAGGCCTAACAACTCAACACACTCTCTTCATCCCCAACCTGTTCTGTACATATCAGACTAAGAACTAAGGGGGAAAAGTCCACATGCCCATATCTTACCACAAAATGCCAATAATAAAAAAGAACAAGCCAATATCTTTTCTTCAAAACCTACTCTTGCTGTAGAAACATCTGCCAATGAGAATTGTTGCTGGCAGTTTCCTTCCTGTCTTCTCCCACCTCCTGTCTCAGCCCCAAATAAGTGCACAGAGACATATTAATTAGAAACTATTGGCTGATGGCTAGTGCTTCTTATTGGCTAGCTCTGTCTCAATCATTAACCTGTTTCTATAAACTATGAATTTCCAAGTGGTCTTGGCTTACCAGAGAATGCCTGGGCCTGTTACTCCTATGGCAGCTATATGTCATCTCTTCCTGAGCTCCTCTCTGCCTACCTTTCCCAGAATTCTCCTCGTCTCCTAGTCCCACCTCTTTTCCTACCTCTATTGGCTATTGGCCAAACAGTGTTTTATTCATCAACCAATAAGAGAAACATATATACAGAAGGACATCCCCCATCAGAATTTTCTAGATGAACCAGGACATGGAATTTAAAAGAATGGTCATAAATTTCATAAAGAATTTAAGGAGTTTAAACACACACACACACACACACACACACACCACAAACACTACACACACCAACCAACAAACCAACCTAACAAAAACCAGCCCAATGAAATTCAGAGAAAAAAATGAATGTGCCAACATCTTTCATTCTGAAGATTGGCCAGTTGTAGGTCTCTGTGTTAGTTCTCATCTACTGCAAGAGGAAGCTTCTCTGACAATGGCTGAAAAAGGTACTGATCTATGGCTATGGCAGAATAACCTTAGGAGTAATTTTATTGCTAGGTTGTAGCATCATACCAATATTTGGTTTTCCTGTAGGCCTGCAGTCTATCCTGTCTCAAGTTCTTGGGCACCCAAACAGTCAGTATCAGTCTCAGGTTTCATCTCATGGAGTAGGACTTAAATCCAATCAGATGGTGGTTGGTTACCCCCACAATATTCATGCCACAATTA